CAAGATATTGGAAATACAACAATGAGAGGGTTTCTCTTCCTCTAAAACAAGAAATAGGCAAGTCAATAGGAATGATCAAAGGAGCATTAAAACTACATTATCTTTCATGATAAATACAGGGTACTATGGAAGCACACAGGAGGGGTGTATTGACTGGTTAGGTCAAGCACTAAGTCAATGTTATTTGAAACATGAATGGGTAAGTGAGTGCATATAGTTGGTATGAAAGCACAGAACCCTTAAGGCAAGCATTTATCATCACATGTTCCTGGATTTGACCATTTTGAGCATCTGGACTTAGAACTTGAAAACCACCAGTTCCATAGCCCCTTCTTGCCATTTCTCTCCCTTCTGCTCCAACCTACTGACAGAATGAAGTGAAGCATGACTGCCAGGAGGGTCAGGGATATCAGTTCAGCGAGCACCATTTACTTTGTTCAAGACTCTCTGGTAAAATAATTCTGATAACAGGGAAAAAACTCTTTTCAGCACTTTCATGATTGATTAAACAAAATGTGTGCTCGTCTTCAAGGCAGCTAACTGTACAGCCAAATGTGTTGCTTAACTTTGCTTACGATTTTGCATAAGGGTATCAGATCATGACTGTGAACATTGCGAAGCAGGGATTGTTTTCCCAGCTGAACTTTGCCCTTAGTTCCATCACATTTCTTCGATTTCTTAGGATGGTTTCCATGCCAGCTATTTGCTGTCTGCATTGCTGATTGTACACACAGCACATCAGGGTTTATCAGAGGGCCATCTACTCTTCTTGGTAACTCCCTAGTACAGTAAACATCTGCTGTGAAACTGGAAAGAGCCAGTTCAAGCCAGTTTTTCTTGGTTTCACTGATTATTTCTAGTTTTTCACACATTATTACTCTTTCATTTCTCCCTACAAATCAGAACCTGTTGAATTTTTTTGTTAAAGAAAATCCCTCATTTTTATGTTTAAAATATTTAAATTGTATATTAAATTTAAAAAGCTACTATGTATCTCCAGAATTTCAGAACATTATGTTACATAGCCAAAATTAATTCTAATTCCTTGCTATCCATATTCAGCATTCCTGTTTTTTCCCCAAAGGGTCTATCATAGCTGGCTTGTCCATACTGGGGTCCTGTCCAAGACCAGGCATTGCATCCTTTTGTTGTCTATGGATGAGCAAGCTCAAGACACTGACCTGTGGAAGACTAGGCCTGCTGTTCTGTGGAATATATAATTTACCTGCTTCTTTCTGGTGGTGTTTACTTTGTCCTAGGTCACTTGTATTTCCTCTAAATTTGAAGTGAAATCTGAAGGCTTAATTAGATGTCACTCAGGCGATTTGGGATGGTATGCATCACTAGTGGTAGAGTGTTTCTTATTCTGTATCACAACAGGAAACTCATGATTTTTGGTTCTCCTCCTCTATATCAGAAATCATAATATGAATTTTAAAACTAGTTTACTTTCATTGGAAATGTAATAATCAATTACATTACCATATTTAGCGATTAAAAAGGTATCAGAGAAAAGGAGACCTTTCTATACCGTATTTTAAATCATTAGTTTCCTTTCACAGCAGGGAAATAACAATATTCCTCCTAGAAATATGTATATACAGATGATAGGTACTTTCAAATGCCATATGTTGGAGACATTTACATTTTAGTACTTGTTGATCTAATATATTCTTTTATTGACTACATGGTCTATCATCTTATAAATGTAACTTACTTCACTTAATATTTCACTGATGGATATGTAGGTGGTTTTCAGACATGTACTTTTTACAAAAATTTGGAAATAAGTTTATGCCATATTCCTATAAAAGATCCTGCTTGCTCAAAGGTGTGAATTCTAAATTTTGATACATATCACCAAATTGCTTTTCAAATAGTTGCTACCAATTTACACTTCTACCAAAAGTATGGAAGTCTTTGTTCCTACTCCCTCATCATCTAATTTTATCTTCCCCGCTAATAATGTTCCTCATTATTAAACAATCCGGTTTCTCCTCACTGATCTGCAATGTCCCCTTATCATATATTAACTTCTTATGGATATAGAAATTATCGATGTATATCTGTTCCAATGTTTTTTAAAATATCAATACAAGTACCCAGTGGTTTTAGCTACTCTAGCTATCTTGCACATAGTGATTATTTAGCAAGGCCACATCTCCCTTTTCCCTTCCTTTACCTAATTTATCCCTGCTGGTTTTTCCCCCCATATGAACTTGACCATTTGCATGTCCATTCTCCCTTGATCCTGATGGTATTTCTCCTGGTATTATATTGTATTTATTAATTAATTCAGAGCATCTTTGCCACTTCAAGCATGTGCCTTTCTTTCTATGAGCACCTATACAGATGAGTTCATCTTATGTTGCATCCTGCAATAGCACCCTCAATTTCCTTCAATAGCTCTTGTCTGTGTCTTGTTAGTTTTATTGCTAGGTTTAATTATGTTACTGAAAGTATAAATATATTTTGGCTAAGAGAATTCGCAAGGCAACATAAGACAGTGGCTTACTATTTAATTTTGCATCCCTTGACTTTAATGTTATTTATACATTCACTTATTCGTTCAGTCAGCATATCTTTTTTGAATTCTATAATGTATAAGGTACTGAAAGTATATAAAATAGGTCTTTTCTTCAGTGGATATTTTCAAAATGGTTTTGGAGTATATGTAAAAATGAATGCACTTGTATATATCATATTTAATCAGCCACTTTACTGAATTCTAGTGGAATAATCAAATAAAAATCTTAGAATTCCTAGCTATACAATCATTTCATCAGTATAAAATAATATTTTTATATTTGCATTCCAAATATTTGTCATTATTTAAATGTATTATCTAGGATTAACAAATTAGAATGGGGGTGTCAAGCCTGTTTTCTTTAGGGGCACAACTATTAAGTTGGATTTGGAACTACATGGTTTGAAATACTTTCTGACAAGATATATTTACTATTTTATAAAATGTTGATGATAAGAAATTTGGAGTCTTTCACTGTAAGAACTCTTATCTCTTGAGAACTTTTATTGGTTACCACTTTAATTTTTTAAAGTTTTATCAATTTCAATCTCATCAACATCTTATTCCAGGCTGTTGCGTTTACTACACCCAGAATGAAACCTGCATGTCTAAGAAATCTGGGATAACTCTTGTCCTATCAATAATGCTCAGACTGGAAGTCATCCAAGCAATGAAACACACAATAAAGTTTTTCACTACTCTTTTTGAACACAATTTTCAGTGTCTGCACAATATTTTACCAAGTGGGTGTAATCTACATTATTGCTCAGGTCAATCTTCATGCAGCATCTCATCTTCTCATGTCCTCTTGGTCTACATATCTCATTCAAATTCATTTTTCCTTATTATTTTTCTTATTTATACCTTGCTATACATGTCACTTCTGTGACTAACAAATTCCGAACAATATGTTTTAAGTGTGTATGTGTGTGTATCACAATTGTCAATGAAAGGCTGATTAACCACTCTTTCTGGAAGTCTAAATGAGCTACTCTTAGCTAACATGAACCTCAAGTGATTTTCATTTTTCATGGGTTAAGCTGTATAGATTTAAAAACACTTCATTTTAAAAACCACCTACTATATGTAAGGAACATTTGTTTGCTATACCACTTCTAAGCTGTATGGTATGAAGCCGGATGAAGGTTTTCATTTTGCTGGTGCAAAATTCCCGGGGAAGGATTCAGAGTAATAAAGTTATTTCCTTCCTTCCTTCCTTCCTTCCTTCCTTCCTTCCTTCCTTCCTTCCTTCCTTCCTTCCTTCCTT